TCTTGAGAAAAGCCCGTCCGATGTTCCTTATCCGCTCTTTTTCTCTCGCAACTAATCCATACTGGATTAGCTGTGACCCCTAAGAGCAATGAGTTTAATGTCTGGCGTCGTTTCTGTGGTCGTTAACGAGGATTACATTAATTCGTGTAGCTACTTATTATGATAAATAAAGTTAAGATGAGTAACGTGGCGTTTGTGAAAAAAAACCTAAAAAAAAATCTGAGTAATTTTTCAGCATGGATATAGAATGTTTGTTCTACATTAATAAAATAATTTTATTTCTTAAACACATTTTATATTTATTAAAAGTTTGTGGAAGATAATTAACGTTTTTACATTTTTCATCACAATTTTTACGAAAGTCTGCAAATTAGAAAATTGACAAGGATAACGGTCAATATTGATATGAAAAGTAGATAAAAAGATGTTATGAGTTAGACACTTTCAAATTAGTTTCAAACTACGAAAGTAAAAGTCATAGAGGAATGTTTTGCTATCTTGCAAGGTGCAGGAGATATATGTATAATACATCGACACTTCAGTCAACTAAGCTTCTTACGAAATGTACGTTGCATAGGATTGATGAATTAGTTTATAGCAATCGTGCAGATGAATTCGAAACTTTACTTCCAATCTCCAGACGAGACTGTTCTATTTATGTTTCCTCTCGAAGCTATACCTGGAACTTCAAAAAAGACATCGTTTCGCCCGTCATTTTTAATTATTTTTATCGAATTGACGATTGTTCGGTTGAAATTAATGTATCAAATCGTGATGGCTCTTCTCCGTCCTCCCAGAGACGAGGACATCTTCCCTCGATGAAGACGGACGTGACGACGCGTTGTCGTTCAAAAAGACAGGTGGATAGCAGCCCGTCAGAATTAATTAATTCCGCCGACGCTTCTCCATCTCGGTTTCTTTCAGCTCGTCACCTCTTTCCAGTTCCAACCGCCGTATCCGCGACAAGTCCTCTAGGCTATCCTCCCCGACATCGGCTTGCTGAGCTTTTCTCTCGTGAAAATCGCGACGAACCGCGAAAAAGCGTGTCCGTCCGAGCGAGGCAATCGCGATAATTCTGTCGGGGTGCTCGACGACACGAGAGAGGACTCCCGCGAGGTGATTTTAAAAAGAGGGACACAGGCGGTCGTAGATAAAGAAAACTAGGGGTGGGAAATAAAAGAACGGAGATAGGTGGAAAGGGCTGACTAGGAAGGTCGGGCAGAAACGGAGCTGAAGAGAAGAGAGCGGAATGAAATTTGCATCGCAAAATCCTACCGTTTACCCCGTCCTCCCGTACTCCCGTGTTTCCCCACCGTCGTTTCCCTCTTTCACTCAGCGAAGGAGAAGCGTGGAGCTATTCGTATATATACGGGGTAATGACGGTGTTCGGTATTCTGTGAAGAAAAGGAGGAACGTCCATTGGACAAGCGGAACTCGCGTCTGCATCGTGGATCCTGTTTTGTGTCTCGTAGGCTTGTTTGTTTTGCACGGGCTATCGAATGCACACAAAAGACCCAGAGCTCTCTCTCCTCCACTTCGCAGATCCCAACCCTCGCTAAATCTCTCTCTCTCTCTCTCTCTCTCTCTCTCTCTCTCTCTCTTCGGTTCTTTCCTTGCCACCACTGTGGCTCGTCCGTTACAAGAAAAGGGACTAAGGTAGTGACCTATGAAGCAGGAATTTTTAGGCCTTTAACTGCTGCATGTGAAACGTTTATCACGCCCGCGTAGTAGAAACAAGTAAACAAGTTACTGTTTCAACTGAGTAGTTACCTTTGATACTTACTTGTCAACCGATTTCACGCACTTTTTAACAGATTGCGATCTTCTTACGCACCGAAATATGCTGCCAAAATATACACATTAATGCTTCGCTTAACTGTACTGTAGGTAATTTTATAAGAAAATTTTGTAGACGTAAATAATGTAACAAATTCAGTACTCATGATGATTTATAAAATATAATTAATATTTTTGCATTGCGATTCGGTGTACTGATTTCAAGAAGTTAAAACTCAGTGTAAGTATTTAAAGAGAGATACTCTATCTTCAATTTAGTCCGCATTTTAAGAAGATATTTAAAATGTAAATTATTATCATGGTATCGCTATACAGGTCATGTCGTATACATTACCAGCTATAATCCGAGACGAAACTTTAGTACCAGATATAATTTTCTTCCGTGAATGAATCTCAACTTCATCGTAACATTCGCGTAATACGTCGAGAATGTTCCGTGTTTCTTATGTCATACAGACGTGATTGATCGTAAATACGCCCCGTACATGGTCGTCCATCTTTCTAATGCTCTTTATTTCTTCCCTTAGACGAATTTTATAAAATCATACAACCATGCCGTAATAGCTCGACGAGCGAAAGGGCAGAGTAGACGTTACTGCGATGCTGTGGCTGCAGGGCGAACGTAATGCGATCTCTCCTGGACACTGCTCGTTAGCGATCGATAATTATAAATAATTAGTGAAGCGAAGCATGCCTCTTCGATGGTGGGTGCTCGACAAGGGCTCAGTGACCGTGGATATGTATACCTTATCTTGAAAAAAGCATTGTACGCGAGAAGCATTAATGACCCCACGTGTCGAGAGGCTGCTCGTTTTTCAACATTGAGTCATCTCCGGTATAAAGTTTCTATTATCTTGCTTACTCGTGTAACTTCAGTCAGTGCTTTACCCGTTTCACATAATACGTGTACTCGTTGAGCTTTGCTTGGTTTTGCTGAAAGGTACAACGTATCCGATAGCTTTCTCGAGCTCCATCGAGTATTCAAAGCGACCTATCTGGAGTTCCATTATAGGTTTTGGTGCATGTATTGCCGTATCTTACAACTTCAATACCGAGCGCAACATTTGTTTCTGACGGCTTTAGGGCCTCGTTCGTATTCTGCGCCTATATCTTAAACGTGGTAGAGCATACGGAGTCGTTATGCGGTCGGAACATGTCAGTATATTACTTACAATTTGATTTTATAACGTATTTTTCTAAAGCAAGAAATTACTTAACAGCAGCATGATACATGATTTTTAAGTTATGATTTATTATACATTAACATAGTTTTACAATTACGTAGTTATAACATATTTAAATGTTAAAAAAACCATTTCTTTATTATATCTCTCAAGAAATTCGACAGTCAAGCATTGTGCTATTATAATTTCGAAGAAACGACGATGACGATCCCGATCCAGAAACGCGAATGTTTTTGTTACATACGATTGTGTGAATGCACTCAAACGCATCGGGCGCCAAGGTGGTTATTTCCCGATTTAGAGTTTCACATTGGACTACTGCCTAAAATTAATAATACTAACGCTGGGGGGAAAAATAATTTCACCTCCGGCGAGGTGTGAATAATGCATGAGGCGTGACGCGAAATCCGTGCGGTGTTGCAGTTGCAATTTCATATGGAACATGCGTACTTATACTGTATCCCTGTGCGATACATATGAGCACGATACAATTGCAGCAACAGCAACTGCAACAGCAACAGCAACAGCAGCAGCAGCAGCAGCAGCAGCAATAGTAGTAGACGCTCTCGACCTCTTCGCTGAAAACGATCGCGTTTACTAATAGCACTCGCGCAATTAAAATTTCATGGCCCACGGCATAGTAATGTTTCCACTATTCGTCGACGATCCATATAGCCGGTGCATATTCTATGTACGAGGATGACACGGGTTAGTCGTTGATATCACAGTACGGTGACGCGATTAATCTTGGATATAACGACCGTTTTTTAACTAAGTGTCAGTTGGACGATTGTAAGCGATTTTATTTCACAAGCGCAATATTTAGGGGGCCGATTTGTCGTGCAAAATAGACCTCTTATCGTGCAGATTGTGCGCGACGTAAAATGAAGACGGACGAGAGGGCGGGTGGAGAGTGCTATTTGCAAAAATGATAACAAATGTCTACGCTTCCGTAGCAGCGCGATAAGAGTCCCGCTTTACACGACAAATGAAAGTTACAGCGATGATATTTACATAAATATGATTGTTATATTGTCCCAGTGGCAGTCAGCTTACATCGGAAAAACGATTTGAATTTGTTGATAGGAATACAAAGTGCACACTTTATTTTGCATTTATTAATTAAATGTTAATTCGTAAGCTTTCACTCAAATCTAACGCACGAAAAATATGTACCTTATTTTGTAATTGTTACATATATTTTAATCAAATTTCCTTTTAATTAAAGAAATGTACGTTTAATTATTAAATCGAGAAATGTTTCTAGATATATATATATATATATATATATATATATATATATATATAAAA